GGCTCCCGAGCGCCGCCGGGAGAGGCTCCCTCGGAGCGGGAGGGGACTCGGGGATCCCGGGGTGTCCCCTGAGGCACCCGAGTAGATGGGGAGGTCCTTTGTTAGGTTAGGCAGGGGTTAATAAGGTCCCAGAGACACGGCCGCTCTCATGAGCAGTTCCGCTCACGGTGGAAGGCAGGAGGAGCCCATCCCGCAGAGATGGCGAATTCTCCCCACAAGGGCGCAGCCTCTGAGCCTCCCCTCTGATGTCCAGAGCGAGAGAGAGCTGCATCCCCTCCTGCCAGCCCGCATCTCCCGGCACCTCTGCCCTTCCCAGGAGAATGCCCCCAGCTGCCACAGTGCAGCCAGCTCCACTCCTCCTTCTCTTGGCCGTATCTTGTCTCCCTCAAGTATCGGTAGCTATTGGCTCTGAGCAACAAATGGGAGAAAATTCCCTGAGAGAAAGAAACAAAAGGAAAAGTCCTAACCCCCATCAACAGCAAATGATAGCAAAGAAAGTGTAATAATCGAACCTCATTATTTAACGATGGGATCACAATTCCAGGGAAACGCATGAGAGGAATAGCCGATTTGTCTTTACAAACAAGCCGTGGGTCTGCTGGTGCATAAAACCAGCACTGGGAGATAAAAGAAACAATGGGAAGGATTCCACTGATTGATGAATGGAAAAATATATTTGCTTTTACAAATAAACTTTAGGTTTGCCTGTAAACGAAACTAGACATTGAAAGATGAATGAAACAGTGGGGAAGAATAACCCCTAAATTCCATAAGAGTTAAAAATTCAAAGCGAGGGTTGTACATTAGAGGGAAATCTTCGGGAAATCTTTGGTATCAGGCGTATCGGGGAGTCTGAACCTCTCAAGTACCTCAGCCAGTGGGGAAAGAGAGAAGGGAAATGCAGCTGGGAAATTGGGATAAAAAAGAGGCTGCGTCCTCCAAAAATTCGAGAGATCGCAGGGGAATGCCCCATGGCCTCTCCCTTTATTTGAATGAAGCCAGAAAGGACTCCTCTGTCTCCTTTTTGGACATAAACCTCTGGTGTTTGTTGATTAATTTTCCTAGCATGCAGCCTGCATAGGTGTGCGAAGCTGGGGATCAAAGCTGCGTGTCCCAGCCAACTCCACGTGCCAAGGGAAGGATGTGAGCACTAAAGCCGTGTGGAGTGAAAGGATTTGGGGAGGACAAGGTGTCAGACACACCAGAAGAGTGCAAGAGGAACTGGTCAGTGCTCCAGGCCGGGGTTCAGGCAGGCAGAGGGTTCAGGCCATGTCTGCAAAGCCCCCTGGCAGCAGCTGCCCTTGCACCCTGCTTGATTTGTGCTCAGCTGGTGCCTTCCAGGGTGATGTGACACAGCAGAGTAGAATGCCTTGTGTTCCCTGTGCCTGGCAATACGGCCATCACCCCTGGACACAGGAGGAGCTGCCTGCAGAGGTGGCACATGCCCTGCACACATCTCCACCATGAGCCCACGCAGCAGGACAGAACTGGGCAGGCAGCCAGGGCAGAGCCATCCCTCCCCTTCCTTTTCCCAGAATGCAGCCTGGACACCCAAAGCAGGGCCACTGCTCTGCAGCTGGTGTCCCCAGGTGCCATCCCCAGGGGCTGGAGGTGCCCAAGAGGGCTCTGAGCATCCTGCACAGGGAGATACAGACTCCTCCAGCACTCAGGGGCTCTTATCAGCCACCTGCAGCTGGGCTGCAGCAGACCCTGTGATGTAAACAGGACTGGGCACTGCAGGAACAGGAGGAATTGCCAAATTCAAGTGTTGGATGAGGTCCCACATGGGCTGGCAGCTTCAGGGCATGGGAGGTCATTGCCCAGAGGATGGGAGGGAGAAGCTTGGTGGGGTGGTACCCAGACAAACTCCCAGGTCTGCTCTCCAGGCCATCCAGCCCCTCTGGACTGTGCCCTGCTCACTCAAACAGGCTGGAAGTGCTGGGCAAGCTGGGTCCAGCCATGGGCAGATGAGGGGATCAGAGGAGTGGGAAGCAGACTGCAGACCCTTCAGCCCATCTCAAACCTGCTTTCCTGGAGTCAGCCTGCAGGCTGGGCAGGTAAGTACTGGCTGTGTAAAAAGTGCTGAATGCTGTGACCTTTCCATTACTCCTTCTCTGCTTTATCATCTTCAGGCAGTCCTCGAGTCTTGGAATTCCCACTTTCAGCACTGAATCCTGTCTCCCCCCCTGCTGATTGACTGTGGATATGCTGGCATCCAGGATGGAGGCAGTAGAAAGTGAGACCCTGATTGATGAGGTGGAGGAGATGAGTGGAAGAGGTGAGTTTTCAGAAGGGAACAGGAGGGGGAACTGTCCTCTATTGAGGACAAATGCATCTGCTTCTGCTGTGGGACAACTATTGAAGGTCAAAGCACTGGGGCTTGTCCCCAAACTGGGCTTTTCATGGGTTGGGACTTGGTGGCTGCAACACTCCCAGCTGAGCTCTTGGTGCTCACCTGTAGGCCCAGCTCCAGCACCAAAGGCTCCTGAGCTGACATCCTTGGCCCCCTCCACTGTTCATAGAAAGAGATGTGAATTTGGGGACATGGGTTGTGGGTCTTGGGGTAACCTCTACTGTGGTCAGCACTGGTTTGTGCCCTGACCTGCCTGTTCTCCTCTCACAACACCAGAGACACCCAGGCTCAGGTCCAGGTGGCTGCACTGCTGGTGTGCACCCGCCCACTCAGGTGCTGCCTCTTCCTCCAGGAAATGGAGGTCCCCTTGTCCAGGATGTGTGCAGGCCCCCGGGGTGGGGACAGGGATGGGGCAGCAGGGACAGTCCAGCCAGGGGGGTTTTCCCACTGCAGGGAAAAGGAGCTCACCCTGTCCCTTCTCCTGCTGGGGTGGATGCAGCCCCAGGGCTGCCTGTTCTGAGCAGCTTCTCCTCCTCTCTCCGCAGCTGACGTGACTCTGGACCCAGACACCGCCAACCCCTTCCTCATTCTGGCCAGTGACCAGCGAGGGGTGGGGCGGGGGCACGAGTGGGCCTTGCTGCCCGACAGCCCCAAGCGCTTTGACACGGAGCCGTGCGTGCTGGGCAGCCAGGCCTTCGCTGCAGGGAGACACTGCTGGCAGGTGGAGGTGGCCGAGGCAGGGGACTGGTGGGCAGTGGGAGTGGCCCAGGAGTCTGTCAGGAGAAAAGGGGTCCTCGGTTTTACGCCCCAGGAGGGGATCTGGGCCGTGGGGCAGTGGTTTGGACAGTACCACGCTTTCAGTGATCCTGACTGGACCCCGCTGCACCTTCCCTGCCTCCCCAGGGCCATCCAGGTCTGTCTGGACTTCACAGACAAGCAGGTGACTTTTGCTGATGCTGAGAGTGAAGCCCCAATCTTTGCTTTCTGCCTGGCCTCGTGTGCTGGGGAGAGGCTGCGCCCGTGGCTCTGGGTGGGGATGGACTCGTGGCTCAAGCTGTGCCCCTGACAGGGAGGGAACGTGAGGGGCAGGGGAGAGGCTGGAAAGGCAAACGCCATCCATCACCTTGGGTCCTGGTGCTGGGAACTGAGAGGGTCCTGCATCCTGCTGGCTTCTCCTCATGAGTATCCTCTGGCCCCCAAGGAGAGGACGGGCAGCTCATGGAGGTGGATGCCACAACAGAGCCTCCTTTATCCCCCCACCCCTCGGCTGGGACTGCGGGGACAACAGGGAGCACAGAGACTGGGAGCAGGGAGGAACTTGGTGCCCTTGGTCCCCTGGCAGGGACCATCACTGAGTGCCAGGGCACTGCAGAGCTGCTCTGTACGAGGCCATGGAAAATATAGCAGGGTCCAGCTCCTCCCAGGGTGCTGGTGTAGTGCCCTCTGGCTTTTTTCAATTAAGTTAAAAAACCCCAAACATAGCTGGATACCCATGATAACACTTATCTTCCCCACACATCCAGAGCCTGTCCTTGCCTGATGTGCACCAAGCACGTTTCTTGCAGCAGAGCACTGGGAGCAGTGCAGGGGCAGCAGCAGGAGCAGCTCAGGAAGGAAAGCAGAATGCTGAGCTGGGTCTGAAACCCACAGGAGAGGCAGCAATCCACAAGAACGGCCACAGATCTGCCATTCTCAAGGCCCCACCTCACAGGATCCTGCTAAATCCTGTCCTTAGGAGAGGAGAAGGTGAAGAGGGACATTGCCTGGGTCCAGCCTAGATTTCATCATTTCTTGTTGGACCTTCTTTACTGCCACTTCAGTTGTCATCGTTGTGGTGGCATCTGGGCACAGACAACAATATTGGCCTCCCTGCTCTACTCCAGGGGCTGCAGAGTTGCAGGACTGGGTCAAGGCCAGGTATCTGCCCCCAGAGCTCTGCCCTAAGCCTCTTCCACTGTGGTAGCATCAAGTCTGGGGAAACCCAGGGTTCTCTGCTCCCACAGAGGCACTTCCTACTGTCCATGGGCAGGAGCCTCTGAGACTGTCCTATTTTGCTTGGGATAGAGTTCATTTTCCTCTCAGTGGCCAGCCCAGTGCTGGCTTTGGGATTTAGGGTGAGGATAATATTGGTAGCAACAATCCAACCATCAGGCATGTGGTGTTTACGTGGCCTTCTCTGTGCCTCTTGCTCTGCCAGCGAGGAGGGAAGCTGGGGGGGAGCATAGCCAGGACAGTGACCCAAACTGGCCATTCAGATATTCCACACAATAAAACATCCTGCCCAGTGTGTAAACTGGAGGAGCTGCTGGTCAGGGGCTGATGGCTGCTGGGAGACAAGCTGGGCACAGAGCAGCAGGTGCTGAGCACCTACATTGGGCATCACTTGTTCCACTTGGGGTTTATATTTTTTTCATTACAATTATTATTATCATTAGTATTATTATATATTACTTTTATCTCAATTATTAAACTGGTTTTATCTCAAATAAAAAGTTTTATTTCCCCCATCCCCCTTGGAGGGTGGTGTGTGACTGAGTGGCTGTGTGGTGTTTAGTTGTCAGCTGGGGTTACACTGTGACAGAGGTTCATAGCAGAAGATTGGTGTATGGAGATGCAGATTGTCAGTTCTGTATTTTTGTCCTTTGTCATGCAAAACGTCCCAAAAGAGCTGTGCTGTGCATTTAGGGCCACCTACCTCATTCAAGAAGAAGAAATTCCTTTCTGAAAGCCAACTAAGTCCCTCAGACTGGAGAAAAGTTGGGTTTTTCAACGGATTGGTGTCTGGGAACTTCTTCACTGGAATTTTGTGGTCTGGAGGGAGTAAATATTTTGCACTGGTTTCCTTTTTGATGTGTCTCCCAAAAATTAAATTTTAAAAAATCTCTCTGGGAGTTGAGTTACGTAATTGCAGCATTTGTGTGAGAAATACACAGTTTCATGTAGCATTGCACCACAAAGACTCAGGGGAGCTTAAATTCAGCTCTCATGTGTTAGAGGTCTCAGCATGTTGGAACCACAGCGGGTAGGAAGGGTAAGGAACCCCGGGGTCCTTGAGCAAGGCTGGACCCACGTGGGCTCTGAGTGGTTCTGGGGAGGCAGTTGGGGCTGGGGGTTTGTGCCACAGCCAGCACATGGCAGCAGTGACTGCTGCCTCCAACCCTGCCTGCACAGCGAGGCCACAGGGCTCTCCTGAAGCCCTTGGGCCACAGCAGGGTGGGATCAGACCCAGGGGCCCTCCTGCTGCCAGGGAAAACGGCTGCAGCAGTGGAGAGGGGAAGCACCTCAACAAACATGCTCTTCTCAGCATTGGTCTGTTAGACATGCTCCAAACAAAGCCTGCCTGGATTTGGCACATCAGCCAAACAACTGTGACTGACCCCCCTTCCCATGAAACTTTCCTTATTCCCGGTGAGCCTTTTCTCTGGCACTTCTGCTCCTTTTACACTGTTCTTGCTGTTGCAGATGCCACTTTGTCTTCTCCCCACCCTGCCAGATTGCTGTGTGGCATCACAGTTTTATTTTAAAGGTCTGGCTGAGCCAACCTCGGCATTTCTTTTTTTAAACTTTTTTTTTCTTTTAATATGAACAAACCCAGAAAACCCTTGATTTGAGAGCTTGGCCAAGTAACTCCTCCAAGGTCTTGCCCCAGGCTAAAGCCTTGTCCAGGACCTCAGAAATGCATCCAGCATTGGCATTGCAGTGCTTTGAGTGGCACTTTAAATGGGCAGCTTCCCAATTTCCAACCTCCTGCTGCAAGTGTGGCATGACCAGATTTGCAGCACAGGTCCAGGGCTGGGGCCAAGGCTGCAGGGGATATTGGGTCCCCTCATTGCTCCACACAACAGGGAACGATGGCTGCCCAAGTCTCTGCCCTGAGGTTCCATTCCATGCCCTGCAGCCCCTGGCACGGTGCTGGCCCTGGGTGGCTCTCAGAGCTGGCTGGTAGCGAGTACACAGAGCAAGGCTCCTGCCCCGCAGCTCCTGCACACGTGGGCACAGCTCGGGCACAGCTTGGGCACAGCTCAGACACAGCTCCTGCACATGTGGGCACAGCTCAGACACAGACACAGCTCAGACACAGCTCCTGCACATGTGGGCACAGCTCAGACACNAGCTCCTGCACATGTGGGCACAGCTCAGACACAGACACAGCTCAGACACAGCTCCTGCACATGTGGGCACAGCTCAGACACAGACACAGCTCAGAAACAGCTCCTGCACACGTGGGCACAGCTCGGGCACAGCTCCTCCACACGTGGGCACAGCTCGGGCACAGCTCCTGCACATGTGGGCACAGCTCAGACACAGACACAGCTCAGACACAGCTCCTGCACACGTGGGCACAGCTCGGGCACACGTGGGCAGCAGCTCAGACACGGCTCACACACAGTGGGGCACAGCTGGGCACTGCCCACCATGACCCCACCAGGGCTCGCAGACGTGTCCAGCGTCTCCTACAGCCCTGCAGTGAGGGGCTGGGCTCAGGGCCGTGGGCAGGCCTGGGTCAGGCAGCTCACAGGGAGCCTCTGTGGGGCAGCATCATGCAGCATCAGGGTCGCTCCATGCAGCCCCATACACACCCCGGCCCAAAAACAGGGGCCAAAGGACTCTTGACTTGGCCCACGCCAGGCAGGCTTCTGTACACTGACAGAGAAACTGCCCAGAAATGAGAAAAGCCCTGGGTTTTGTCCAACTTTGAAACCTCCTGTTGGGGCCCTGGGGCTGGCCATGGCAGCTGCTGCAGGCAGGGGGTACAGGGGGCTCTCAGGGACGCAGCCTGGGCTCTGCAGCCCTGGCCCCCTCCAATAACAACACAACAGTCCAAAGTTTGTCTCACTTTTATTTACATCATTGCACAGCCCATTTCCCCAGAACGCACTGGAACGTGGTGGGTCAGACACCATTGCCCACATCCACGAGCTGAACATCTCTGGGAAGGAGGACAAGACTCAAAGAGTCACTGAGTCTTGTGGGGGCACATGCAACAACTCCAATTATTGGCAATGACAACAAAGCCAAGGATGCTGAGTGCAGCCACGGCCACACATGGGACCGGGCCCCCACTGCCCCAGCCAAGGGCTTCTGGCTTCCACAGTTGCATATTTGGATTGATGGTGGGTTTCTTAAAGGGAACACTGGCTCCATGAAGTCCTTACCCTGGGGACATGCTATGGGAGAGAGCACCCCTCATCACCTGCCACAACTCGGTGCCTTGTGGGGCCAAGCTCCCGGGAGGCAGCCAGGGCTGGGAAGGTTAAACCCCTCCTTCCATTTTTCTTCACTGGTGATGTCCTGGTGACCAGGGGATTGTTGGGAAGGGGCTGAAAGAAGGGACACCCAGGACAAGGCACACAGCAGTGGTGCAGAGCCTGCTGCCATGGAAAGGGTGTGCAGGGTGGGATCACCTGCGTGGGATGGGACTGGAGCAGGGACTGTGACTGGAGAGGGCTGCAGCAGCCTCTCCACCAAGAGTACCAGAAGCAGAGTAATCCCTGCTTGAGTGCATGACTGGGAAAAGGGCAGACAGCCCAGGGATGTGGAAGAAGGAAGGGGACAGTCGGGGAGCAGAGATGAGCAGCCTGGCTGGAGCAGAGGACATTCACCCACAGTCACACCAGCCCCTCACACTTGGAGGAGAGACCAGTTCAGAGCAGCCCTCAGGGCACAGAGGCTGCTGCACGATGTGTCAGGGTATCCCCGAGCTGCACCTGGGAGAGGGGACAGAGGAGAGCAGACAGACACCAGGGCCAAGGGCTGGAGCAATCCTGTTGGGGAAGTTGGCACACTGGTCCCTGCTGCTCAGGCCAGCAGAAACTTCCAGCTCAGGCTGAGGGAACACACAAGGAAACACATCCTGCTTTGCAGCTAGAGAGGAGGAGGAAGTGCACATGGTGCTTTGAATTCAGGAAATTACAGATGTCCATCTCACAGGGCATTGCACTGATCCACCTGCTTTCAGCAAAGGGGCAGAAGGACATAGTGCATGAGCACCACCACCCAGTGCAAGGACACAGGCCCTCAGAGCCTGCCTCTTGCCTGCTCTCTACCCTCACCACCACGGAGCCAGAGCCCAGGCTCCAGCAAAGCAGCTGCACACACCCCTGGAGCACCTGGCAGGGCAGCATCACAGCCAGTGTCCTCACAGCCTGTGCCACTCAAGGCTCAGGAGAGATCAGCACCAGGCACTGTCTGGCAGGGTGAGGTGGCAGAGGCAAGGACCAAAGCCAAACCAGAGGGACTCTTGGCAAAGGGGGCATTCTGAGACAAAGAGCTTTGAGAACTGCATGTGCTGGAAACACAGGTGAAAGGAGGAGAAGGAGGAACACTGGCCCCACTGGACAAGGGACCCAGAGTGTGTTCTCTGGGGCCAGCAAACTGGGGGGTTTCACTAGAGAACACAACAGGCAGGCAGCGCTACCAGGGATGAACCCAATGCCAGCAGCTCCTCTGGAATGTGCAAATAAAGCGCAGAGACAGCCAAGAGCACCTGCGTCCTGCCAGGGCACGGCCTGTCCCCTAAGGTACGTGTGAAACTGATGCTACAGGAGGTCCAGCCTCAAGCTGGCAAAGGGACATCAGCAAACAGAGACTCCAACTCCCACCTTCTGGGGTTGGGAAAGCTCCTTTCTCAATCTTTGCAAAGCAAAAGGCAATGGTGGGTTTAGCTAGTACAGAGCCATCTCTTCCCACCCTCAGATCCTCCATCCACCTTTGCCAGACAGACCAAGGGCTGAGTGCATCCGAGTCCTGGGGATAAGCCAGGATCTCAAGGAAAGCATTTTGTGAGATCATGTCTGCGCCGGAAAAGATTCTCTCACTCTGAAACTGATTTTGAAATTCTCAAAATTACAGTACTTTACAATACAAAATGTCTCCATTCAATATTATGTCATTTTACTCCTTCTGGGATTATAATAATTATTAAAAACACTCAACTTTCTAGAAAGGACAGAACACCACAAAAGAGACCAAAGAGTAACGGGAAGGCTGCTGTAGTATATCAAAACCAATTTAGTGCAAAGGAGAAGGGGACTTTCAAGAATGGTTGATGAAAAGTGTTCCTCATACGCTCATTTGGAGAAAAGGCATTGATTTAACCTCTGAATGAGATCAGATTGCCAGCTTCTATCCTGAAGCTTAGAACATCAACACAAAAGGACTGTAACACAATATGCATGGCCATTAAAAAATAATATTATATATAGATATATATATATATATATATATGGAGAGAGAGCGAGGGAGATTTTCCATGTTTTCCATGTATGGTATTTCATTATAGGAAAGCGTCCCTGCAGAGAGGCATTTTCTGCCATCAGGCTCTTTTGGGCCATTTCCCCCACAGATGTTGATTATGTGTCTCTTTGCCAAGGTCTAAAGCACGTGCTGAGGGCAGAGTGCCTTTGGGTGGGATGATTGTTTTCCAGTGCCCCCACAGCTGCCACGGTCCCTGGGCCTGTGGGGATGCCCAACCCTGCACCGTGGCCGCCCGCAGGACGGCTCAGACCGTGGTCTCATCCGCGGCCTTCTTCATGAGCTTGGCGGAGAGCAGGGAGTGGGGCACGGGGTGGGGGCTCCGCGAGGCCGGGAGCATCAGCCGGACTTTCTGGTTGGTCCTTCGCCACTCCGAGTACAGCTGGCAGTGGTAGCGGAACGAGACCTGGCGGGCGAGAACGCAGCACTGTCACAACCCTGCCTGCGCTGTCACAACCCCGGCAGCGCTGTTACCAACCCCAGCCATGCCGTCACAACCCTGCCTGCACTGTCACCAACCCCAGCCACACTGTCACAATCCCAGTCACACTGTCACCAACCCCAGCCACACTGTCACAATTCCTGTCATGCTGTCACCAACCCCGGCCACGCTGTCACCAACCCCAGCCATGCTGTCACCAACCCTGCCTGCACTGTCACAACCCTGCCTGCACTGTCACCAACCCCAGCCACACTGTCACGAACCCCAGTCACGCTGTCACCAACCCCAGCCGTGCTGTCACCAAGCCCAGCCCTGCCCTGGAGCACATGCAGGGACACTCGATGCCCACACCCCTCTGCCTCTGGGGACCCTTTATCCTGAGGCAGGGACACAGCAGTGACCCCAGCACGGTGTGGGGCGCTCCGTGTCCCAAGCCTGACAATC